GGGGGGAGGGGGAGGGAAATGGGAGGCTGGGAGGAGGCGGAAACTTTTTTTTCTTATTCTCAATAAAAAAAAAAAAAAAGTACAAGTATGCCTGGTGGTGGTGGCACATACTTTTAATCCCAGCACTTGGGAGGCAGAGGCAGGCAGATGTCTGCGAGTTCGAGGCCAGCCTGATCTACAAGAGCTAGTTCCAGGACAGGCACCAAAGCTACAGAGAAACCCTGTCTCAAAAAAAAAAAGTACAAGTGTAATCACTTCTGAGAGTCAGATAATCTCTTAACTGTGAGCCCCTGCAACATCAAAAATCAAATTATAGGGATCAGAGAGCTGGCCCAGTGGTAAAGGTGCCTACTGCCAAGCCTGATGACCCAAGTTCGATCCCTAGAAACAACATCATGGAAGGAGTGAACAGACTCCTTTAAGTTATCCTCTCATCTCCACAAACATATACACACATATATATCCCACATACTTGAACACAAAATAAAAATTTTTAATCACTTGTTTCCAAGATGCAATGGGACAGAGCACATAGGTTCTGTTACAAAAGGTAGGAATATAGGCCCAGAAAGGAAAGGTCAAACTCAGCATAGCAGAAACCCAGGGGGCAAACATGGAGTCCCAAAGGTCCATGCCAGGTATCTGGGGCTCACGAGATGAAATCGTTTGCACCCTAAAAAGGCTTAGGTGGCTCCACCCCTCCAGCTCTTGTCCCCTGCGGCACACAAAGGTGCTCTCTTGGACTTGATCCATTCTCTGCATGTGGCTTCCCTCAGCGGACACTTCATCGTTAAGACATCTCCAGCATCCTGGGGTCCTCATTACAGCTCAAGTGTCACCTTCACATCTTTACACAGTGGCCTCTCGCGGCCCCTCCGGGGGATGCCTGACTCCGACACACTTTGCTTGGCCTCAACAGTCATTTGGAGTCCTTGTCCAAGCTTCCAACCTCCGTTCTCAACCACATGGGCCATCCTATTCTTTTTTCTGGTCTGAGATTCACGCTGACACCAGCTGCCGGTTTGCTGCCTCCTATACCCTGGGCATCTCCTTTATCCAATTTCTGAATGTTGCCTGACTTAGAGTTATTGTTTCTGCTTATTCTGTCTTCCCACACTCTGTCTGGGCACTATTTCTTGAACATCTACTATATGCTGTACTTGGCTTTAAGCATCTGAGACAAAGCAAGGAATATGTAAACCAAGTTCCTACATTTAATAAAGCATACCTTGTCATGAAAAAAAGGAAAATGTGCAAACAACACAGACAGCAGTGTAACATCTAGTAGCAACAGAAGGAGGGGGAGAAGAGGAAAACTCGGTGTTAGCACACGAAGACAGTGGCGCCAGCTAGGGCTTTGCGAAGAGATGACATCGTCATCAGAGTGAAGTAAAGCGTGAGGCAGGGGAGTCAGGGACCACTCCACTTGACTTGAGTGACAGAAAGAATGACAGTGGGCTTGAGAGATGTCTCAAGAGGTAAAATTCTCACCCGCTGTGTAAGCCCGAGTCCCCGAGTTCAGATCACCAGGACCCGCATACAGCTGGATATGGTAGCGCAGGTCTGTAACCCTAGTGCTTCTGTGTGGAGATGGGACGCAGAGAAAGGTGGAACCCTAGAAGCCTGAAGGTCACCCGTCCCAGGGTGTGCAGGGGCAAGCAAAGAGAACCTGTCTCAAATAAGGTGGGAGGTAACGACTGACCCCTAGGACTCACTGGTAAGTGCACACATATGAACATATACACATGTATGCACACATGAGCACACAGATTTAAAGAGAAGAAAAGTAATGATCTCATTTATTAGGACAGATGATGTTGGGAGAGAGACAAGAGTTCTGGCTTGGAACTGGGGATACACAATCTGCTAAGGGAGAACTGGGAAAACAACCTGCTAAGGGATTATAATGTCCTGGTAAGAGGCTATTTGACTATGCTGAACCTAATTCCTCCTTAGATTCACTCCCTTTTCAACCTCAGGGAAATATTCCTGGCTACTTCGGCTCTAAAAGCATTTGCTGCTTCCCAGACCCAGTGGCCTCTGTCACCCTCCTTATTGTTTTTATGATAGTTACTGTAATCTGCAGTAATAAAACTTGCTTTTTGGTTCCTCCTCCTCCTCTTCCTTCTTTGTCTTCTTTTTTATTTATTTATTTATTTTTTTTTGCTATTCACCTGTTTATCTTGTACACAGCTGTACCCTCTATGCTCAGTGTGACACCTATTGCAGAGAAAGGGGTTAAAAGACTTGGGTGAGACAACACAGAGTAGACCAGTCATCTGGAGAAGTCTGGATGCTTTGGTTCATGTCTAGGTCAACTTTGTGCACTAGCTACATGGCTTTGTGAAAAGCGTCTCTGTGACGGCAACTTAGTTTTAAATTATTTGATTTTAAAGTATTGATATGCCTGCCTTAGAATTATATTTAATGCAGGATTTGTGTTGGTACTCAGGACTTTATCTGACCAACAACAATGGGAAGAGGCCTTCTGATACAGAATAAGTGTGAATCATTGCTACTACTGAGTACGGATAAAGTGGCCATGGGAAACCTAAGCCATTCTACATTCCGGCTGCTTGGTCACTTGAGTGTTTAGTATTAGCTGCCCATTAGCTCGGCTACATTCGGGAAAACCAGTGGGAAGGAAGCAAAGGAATCTGCCTTCTGGACTGATGTAGCACCTGTTCTACCATGCAGGCCACCCTGTCCTGCTATGGTCCCATAAGTTACTGTATTCAAGAGTTGACTGGTGTCCAAGCATTTCTTTGCAAAGCCCCCAGAGACAGATATTTTACTGATGAAGCAAAGGACCCTCGGACAAGCAGAAATGGGCAGGAAGAAAACAAAAGACTAGACCTCATCTGTTTCTATGTCTGTCTGACTTTCTACTATACTGTGGGCAAACCAAGGGCAGACCTTTGGGTGTAATTAGGTTCCAGTGAGACTATTTGAAGAATCAACCTCTCAGTGTTCGCACAAAGCAGGGGGACAGGAAAAGCAAGCCCGTGAGAGTGCTTCCCTTCTTTCACACTCTTCCACTTCAGGGAGAACCTGTTTTTGTTTTTATGGTCTGAAAGAGTCTGAAAGAGGATCAAGTGCTATGAATAGCCATTGCTTTTTCTTTTGCTACCAAAAAAAAACGAGAAAAGTGGAGGCCAACGAAGCAAACATCAACACTGCACGGTTATAAATAGAAAAATAAATAACTTTTATTTTGTACAAAAGGGAAAGTATACTTAAGACAAGAGGCTATGTGTGTGTGTCCCAGGGCCAGGCCACTGTCAGCGTCCAAGAGGCTCTGAATCTTCTAGGGCCAAGAGTATATGCATCTCAAGGCCAAATGAATGTCAGTGTCCTTGCTCCCACGGAATCCGGACTCAGAGCAGCAGTAGCGAGCCCAGCAGCAGCTCGCCCTGGCCCAGCGGTCGTCCACGCTCCAGCCCGCGGCCCTTGCTCTCAGCCTTGATGCGCACGGCCAGGCGGCGCAGCTGCTCCTCCGAGAGCCCATCGAAGCAGCAGTCCTGGTCCAGGGCGGCCTTGCGGCTGCGCCGGAGAACGCTGGCGCGCTGCTGGCCCGACGGCCGCAGCACCAGGCTGAGGCGGCAGCCCAGGGCGCGGGGTTCGAGCGCGGCGGCCGGGCCCTCTGCGCGCAGCAGGCGGAGGCGGAGACACGCGCTGCGCGGACAGTACTCGGCGGCCAGGCGCAGCGTGCAATCCCCGCGGCCCAGAGCCACGCTGGCCTCGGCTTGCAGGCGTTCACGATCCGGGCCGGTTGGGGTCGGGGGCGCGCAGGAGGTAGCGCGCTCGCGCTCGGCGCCACTGGGCCCGGGGCGCGCACTCGGCCGACCCCGAGGGGCCCGCAGTGCGCGGCTCAGCAGCCCATCGGGGGCGCGCAGGAGGCGGCGCACGCGGGGCACAGGAGCAGGTGGCGGGGCAGTGTTCAGATCAGTCGGGGCGGCGCGCGCAGGGTCCGAGGCTCGGCGCGTGCCCGCGTAGGTGTGCGCGCGGTGGCGAAGTCCGGGCCGGGGAACGCCTGGGTGGCCGAGGAAGAGCGACTCCTTTCGGCGCGTGTGCGGGCTCTCGAGCAGCGCGCAGAAGCCGTAGCTGGTGCGCGCGCGGGGCAGGTGCGGCAGCGAGAGCGCGGCCTGTGAGCGCGGGTCCCAGTCGGTGCGACCCGTGTGGTCAAAGTCATTATCGTCGCAGTCTGTAGGGGTGGGCAGCCACAGGTCGGGTTCGGCCGCGCAGCGCCAAGGTAGTGCTGCGGCCGGTTGCGGCGATTCGGGAACGCAAGGGACGGGCAGCCGCGGAGGGATGCAAAACTCTGGGATGCGGCCCGGGGTGAGCACGTTGGAGAAGGCGGGCTCAGGAGTCGACGAGCGGAGTCGACCGAGGAGGCGCATCCTCCTAGTCTGGGGTTCAGCGCGGCGAACAGAAGCGTGCCTGCAACATAGAGAAAAAACAGTTGAGTTTGGGCTCCTGGAGTCCAGTGGATCCCTCTCTAGACCCTCTGAAATCCTAGATCCTAGTTCCTCTAATTTCCACACATCTAGGGTTCCGGATCATCACGAGCCTTTGGTGCATCCTCATGCCCATTCTGCCTTCCAGTTATCAAAACTAAATACACGAATATATAGAAATCAGACCTTTTCTTTTTCAGTCTCGCTGGGTCTGATTGCAAGAGCACCTTCAGCACTGCAGCTGGGACAGTGGCGCGCCTCTTTTATACCACAACCGGAGTCCCGCCCAGCTTTCTAGAACCCAATCCCAAGGGAAAACAGACAGCCCGCCTTGCAGCCACCTCCTCCTTCTACGTCTCAAGCGGCTTTGTGGTTGTCGCAGGAGCTGGCTCTGGGACCTACCTTGGCTCTCCCTGCGCTTGAGCGCCACATACAGGCCTGGGAAATGTTGCAGGTGACCAGAGGGCCACCCTGTCACCCTGCCAAAGAGGATTTGGCAGTTCAAAGTGTTTGTGGCCTCTCAGAGAAGGCAGGGGAGGATGAAGAAACGGACACCTGAATTTGGCCACAGTAAATCCGGCCCCCCACTAGGCGCGTGACCTACACTCACGTTCCACTGGCTTCTGTTTTTCTGCCCCCATTCATCACCGTGTGTGCGGGTGGTGTACACCTGTTTCCAAGGACAGACTAAACTTGGCATGTCCGTTTAGGATGGGGTTACATGCAGACAGTTTTTTGAGAAGTTGGAAATGCGTTAGTCAGTCTCCCCTTAACATATTCGGACGACTTGTATTCAACACTGGGCGGGCTGAAAGGTTGGATGGAGTAGTTCTGTACCTCGTTTACTCAAAAGCTGTGCAAGTCCGAAGTGCCGGGTCCACACCTTATTCAGCCTCTGTCTCCCTCTGCTGGACTCTCCCTGATATCACACTATCTGGGCTACCCTCAGCCATAGGCATTGGTGACCTGCGTGAATTAATAATATGCTAATTTTTCTGGATGATTATAAACTAGTGCAAAAGATGGACGTTCTGCTCAGATCCCTAAACATACTTAATTTTCCAAAGCTACCATTTTCTTTCTGCCCTAATATGGACCTATCTAGGAAACAAAATCTTCCACAAAACCGAAGGACACTCTTGGCAAGGCATAACTTTTATTTGCAAGGGCGTGAAAGCTGAAATCTGAGGGACTTGAGGAAACTCTGCAAAGGCTAAAGAGCGCACTCCCGGGTGGCCAGGAAAGCAAGGCATGGAAAGGAGGGCACACAAAACCCAAAGACCACCTGTCCTAAAGAGCCTGCGGGAGTGGTCCCGCTTGATGGACTTTTCCAGAGGTAGAGTCTGGACCAAGGCAACTCCCAGGGGGAGGGGGCTTGAGATGGAGCTTTCTGCTCCAAGGATGTGTGTCAGGGGCTGGGGTGACGCTTTCAATCAATCATTCCAGACTCCTTGGATATGGGGGTGTTAGAGGGCTGGGGGTCTCACTTTTAATCAAATATCCCAGAGTCCCTGGATATAGGGGCGTCAACTCAAGTCTGGCTACTTCCTGCAGGCCTGGAGCAACATGGGAGGGGAGAGAACTGGGAGGTGGGCTCACAGTCAGTGAGAGGAGTGACTGGAACCACATTTGGTTTACACTCATCCTGGAGTCCTTAGGCAGCTGCTTTTTGAGGGAGATGAGAAGGCAGGTGGCTAGGAGAGAAAAACATTGTTATTATTGGCCCTATAAAATGGGGCTAGCCATGGGAAGTCATTAACTGCCAGATAGAATGTGAGCTAAAGGGTGCTGTGGGAGCTGGCATGTCTCTGTGTTAGAGGCTCTTTTGTTAAACGCCATACCCTCAGATCTGTAAAAGCACTTGAGAATTGGGTACCATTACCTATTATTTAAACTGGGCATATAAGCTGAATTTAGATGTGTATTTTATCCAATTAGTTACAGTTTACCAGTGCTAGTAAATGTAAGAAGATTAAAAGGAATATTTTAATAAGTCAAAGAACATTAGCACATGTGGGTGCTCTTACCCAAGATGGTGGTGGGGTCAAAATGGTGGTTACTCACGTGTTTGTAGTTTTTCAGAGCTGTTTTAGTTTGGAATTACCTTAAAACAAGTACACATGCACACAGAAACATAACTCAACATACTTACACAGACACTCGGTGGCCACATCATTCTAACAGAAAGACAAAACACTTCTAGAAACCTGTGTCAGTTGACCAACTTAAAATCCTGGCAGTTAGGTGGCAGAAGCCAGGAGAGTTGAAGGACGGGGTGGGGGGAAGGGACGGACCCATTTTAGCGAATCTCAGAGTGAGACGAACAGCTAGAGGAGCAGGACATAGAAGCAAGGGCAGAGCACACATTTAGAAACTATGGGCATTGGAGACTTGTTTGCTTTAGATGTTAGATATGCCCAATTTAGCCGGATTTTTGTAAAAGGCTGCCCACGGGTGTTTGAATAATCAGCTTGGAATCACAAGGACCTTTTAGAAGCCCATGCCTATTGGAACTCAAGCCTGTTGCAATGCATCCACCGGACAGAATGCTTGAATCAAAACAGGGGTGCATCTCAGCAAGGTATGGCTTGCCACATGGGTCAGACTTCCGGCATGGCCAAGACTTCAACAGAAAGCCTGAAAATCAAATGGGTCCCCACCCTACTCCAAAAGGGGAACTCACCCAGTCGAAGCCAGCCTTGCCTGCTGGGGAGTACAGTAAAGGCATTTACCAGCAGGTGGCGCTGAGCCTGTGGGAAAAACAGATCCCCTCGGTGAGAAACCTCCAAATTGTTAGGAATATTCTTTTTTCTTTTTCTTTCTTTTCTTTTCTTTTCTTTTCTTTTTTTTTTTTTGACACTTTTCTTTAAAGTTTATTCCAAACAACAGTCTTCAAGCTCACTGTAGTGGCTGACCACGTCCACGACCAAAGCCTCCTCTAAACTGGAACTCGGTGGCTGAGCCAGCCCCGGCCTCTGCTTTCTCGTCAGCCCCAGGGGGCACAGCACTCCTTCTGTAGGTGTCTCTGTCCGCCTCCACTCTTGTGAATCTTGCCGGGCGCTCACACTCTGGCCCTTTGGGCCGAGGCCTGCCAGTTTCCGGACGGCTGAGGCGCAGGATGGCAGGCACGATCTCCGGAGGTAGGTGGAGATAATCGCGGAGATACTGGATGCCCTCATTCGTAAGGTACCAATAGAAGTGTCTCCAGGCAAACTGCTCCTTCACGTAGCCTCGAGACTTCAGAGACTGCATGGCCTTCATGACATGAAGGTTGGGCACGTTCTTGTCTGCCAGCTCGGGGTGTTTGGGCATATGGGCATCCTTCTTGGCAACCATCACCCCTTCCTTAAAAAGGAGCTCATAGATGGCAATC